TTCAGGCACAAAGATATCCACAAAGCGACATGGATTTCACCAGATGGACACACTAAAAATCAAATCGACTTTATCTCAATCTCAAGAAAATGGAGACGCAGTCTACTTAACACAAGGTCAAGAAGAGGAGCAGATGTAGGTTCAGACCACTACCTAGTGCAAGGAACCTTCCAAATCAAGTTAAAAGCCTTCAAGGAAGCTGGTGATAGACCTCAACCCAAGTACAACACTCGGAAACTGAAGGATGAAACTACAAAGGAGATCTTCAAAGCAGCCATCAAGACAAAATGGGAGACATCGAGCAACATCCCTGAAGAAACCTGTGTGGAAGAACACTGGAAGTCTTTGAAAGCTATGTGGAAAGAAACCTGCACAACAGTATTAGGAAGGAAGAAGAAAGAAGACAAGGAATGGATCTCGACGGATACCTGGAAGCTGATAGAGGAGAGGAGGATGGTGAAGCAGAAGATAAACCAGTGCAAGGATGCTCAACGACAAGAGGAACTGAGCACAATGTATAAAACACTGGACAAAGAAGTGAAGAAGAGTGCACGCAACGACAAAAGACACTTCTACGAAACACTGGCAAGTGAAGCAGAACAGGCTGCAGGTAAGAGAGACCTGACGACATTGTATCAAATAACCAGGTTGCTATCAGGGAAGAGACCAACACAGATGAAACCAATAAAAGATGAAGAAGGAAATTTAATTACAAAAGAAGAGAAACAGAGGAAACGATGGGCCGACCACTTCAAGAAGCTCTTGAATCGACCACCACCTGCACTTCGTCCAGAAATACCACCTGCAGCCGCTGAACTACAAGTGAACATTAATCCCCCAACGAAAATGGAAGTCCTGAACGCCATAAAGCTACTGAAATGCGGGAAAGCAGCAGGACCAGATGGAATACCGCCAGAAGCACTGAAAACAGATGCAGAGACAACAGCGGACATGCTCACACCACTATTGCAGAAGGTGTGGAAGGAAGAGAAGGTACCTGACGATTGGAAGAAGGGTTACCTTGTCAAACTGCCGAAGAAGGGAGACCTCAGTGCTTGCAAGAACTGGCGCGGAATCACTCTCCTGTCCACCCCAAGTAAAATATTAAGCCGCATCATCCTGGAGAGGCTAAGGGATGCACTGGATTCAAAACTACGACCGGAACAGGCAGGCTTCAGGAAGTACAAATCATGTGCAGACCAAATTGCAACGCTTCGCATCATCATAGAACAGAGCATAGAATGGCAATCACCTCTCCACCTCAACTTCATCGACTTTGAGAAGGCCTTTGACAGCGTCGACCGAGAAGTAATTTGGAAACTGCTTCAATACTACGGAGTACCGCAAACCTTTATCCGCCTCATTCAACAACTATATGAAGATTCTACATGCCAAGTAATCCACAATGGGAAGCTCAGTGATGCCTTTGAAGTGAAGACAGGAGTGAAACAAGGTTGCCTACTATCCCCCATGATATTCCTTATTGTGGTGGACTGGATCATGCAGCAAACAGTAGGCAGCGAGAAGAGGGGGATACACTGGACGACGGAAAAGAACCTAGAAGACTTGGATTTCGCCGATGACTTATGCCTAATGTCACATAAACTTGAAGATCTGCAGGCAAAAACTAACAAGTTGATAGAAGAGGCAGCTAAGACGGGACTTCAGGTGAATATAGAGAAGACAGAAGTGATGAAGATACCGCACCACCACCATCAACAACAACAACAACAAACTCCAATCACTGTCAACGGGAGAAACTTAAAGGAAGTAACCTCCTTCACTTATCTAGGAAGCACTGTTTCAACTACAGGCGGGACGGACGAGGACGTCAAAGTCAGAATCGGAAAAGCAAGACAGGCATTCATTAGCCTGAAACCAGTGTGGAGATCTTCTGCACTCAGCATGCGGAACAAGATACGGATTTTCAACACCAACGTCAAGTCAGTGCTCTTGTATGGCTCAGAGACTTGGCGCGTCACGAAAGGTATTTCCAATAAACTACAGACATTCATCAACAACTGCTTACGCTCGCTGCTGAAGATCAGATGGCCAGAAAAAATAAGCAACAAGGAACTCTGGGAACGAACCAACCAAGAACCTATCACGCAACAAATATGCAGGAAGAAGTGGAGATGGATTGGGCATGCACTGAGAAGGCCGACGGAGGACATCACGCGTCAGGCCCTCGAGTGGAATCCCCATGGGAAGCGACGAGTTGGACGTCCGAGGGTGACATGGAGGAGGTCGTGCGAGGAGGAAATGAGAGGCTGTGGGCTGTCGTGGAACCAGGTTCAAAAGATCTCAGAGAACAGAGGTCACTGGAGGCGTGCTACTGAAGCCCTATGTTCCACTAGGAACCCAAGGGACTAATAATAAATAATAATAATAATATGTACCATTCCATATATTACATAATCTATTTGTTATCATTCACACTTCAATTGTTATTATAATCACAAATGTCCATGTCATCATCCGCTCTATTATTATTGTCATCATCAGCATATAGTGTTTAGTTTTCCTCACAGGATATAATTTTTTCCAAATATCATATATATACGATTGTACAGCTTGAAAATAAATTCGTTGAAAAGAGTCTCTTCGCTGAATATCTTCTTGATGTTACAATGGGAATTATTAAATTATTTTCATTTAGTTTATCACTAATAATTATTATCTAGTGACCCTTACGACTTCTAAAGGAATTATTTAGGTTTTTTCTATTTATCTTGGAAACCTAGTTTTCTGCATCAAATAATGAAACTTAGTTGGTCATTTTAATGGTATCTGGAGTCAACGTTTTATGGTCTCATTAATATGCACATATTAACAAAGGCATAGTTAATTGATAGATCATATGTCTGTAAGCATATTTACCTTCTACAGTTACCTTTGACCTCCAAAGTGAGCATGAACATAGTCAAATGAAATAATACTAATACTGATGTTTCGATAGCGTAATAAGAAGACGAAGTTTGTCTGAGCAATGTGATTACGTCACATCCCATTATGTTTACCAATTTACATGTGTGTGGTTGAGGGTGGGAGAACATGTGCCTAAATGGCTTTAAAAAAAATGGAGTGTGAAACAGTGATAAACGCTGGTGGGAGACGACCCTCTTCATGTACAGCTAAACATATCATAGAAACAGGTCATAAAGTTAGTGTTCAAACAGCTTTCAAAGTCTTGTAAAGAAACAGTCAGTTAGGTACGTACACTGAGATTTGCGGAAGCCATAGCCATACACACCTTTATGTGTACAAAAACAGTTTGTTATTACACTACACCTACCTTGGTAAACTTTGTTTTCTTACCAAGATTAGGACCAACTATGTCACTTCCTGTTTGTCCTCATCTTTCTTAATTTTAATCCCCTATGGTGTTAATTGTTGTATTTATCCCCCCTCCCAGTCCTCGGTTTAATATATATTGACTTGACAAGTAAATATGTGATCATATTGTTCGAAATGTATTGCTCAAATACATCACATTGCTCAGATAAACTTTGTCTTCTAATTACGCTATAGAAATTCATAAAAGGGACTAACTGTTTCTAATACTGATGTGTTATATTACGACATTATCAAGTAGTCTAGTTAACAATTACATTTGTAAATTTTGAAAGGTTGTGGAGATTTGGAATTATTTCAAGTTGTTATTCATCGAAGACTGACATCAGTTGGAGGAACAAAGGAAACCTGGGAGCACTGGATAGCTGTTTCGTCCCAGTATGGGACTCCTCAACGATACGCACCCACGACCCCACCAGCAGGGATCGAACCCGCGACCTTCAGGTTCCGCGACCAGCGCGTTACCATTGAGCCACTGGGTCAGAATCCAATTATTACATTACATTTGTGACTAACTTTTGTTACACACTACAGGATTCAAGTGGCTGCACTGTATTCACTGCATTTAGCACTTGTTTCTTACATGTTCTTATGAACTTAATAAACAGCAGAGGATAATTATTAATCATTAAGTCTTCTTTTATGTGTTTTACTTCCTTGTTTAAGTTCCTACAATGACTAGTGAGTTTTCTAGCTCTATAATCTAGACATTTGATTAGCCCCCCCCCCCGCCTTAAATGACTTTGGATGAGATGATTTGAAGTCAAGATTTATTTTAGAATGTGTCGGTTTCCTGTGGACGGTAGTAACCAAACCACCGTCTATCCTCCGTTTTATTCTGAAATCCAACATGAGTAATTCTCGTTGTTCATTTGCTACCTCTTAAGTGAATTTGATTACGTCCACTAGTAAGTTTTTATGTGTGTGGAAACTGTCAATATGTTCCGATTTCAGTATAGTAGCATATGTCATCCACAAATTGTCATTATATCTTAGGTACGGGATTATACGTTCGTACAACCATATGTTCCCAACTATCCTTAAATATATCTAACTGGATTGGAGACACTCGTGATCCCATTGCTACTCCTAATGTTTGTCTAGATGTCTTTTTTGAAACTTGAAGACAAACAGACAGAATAGTAATGGGATTACCAATATCCCTAATCTTATCAGATATATTTATGAATAACTGGGAAGGCATGGCTCTATGAACGTATAATCCTGCACCTAATATATGGTGACGATCTGTGGATGACATATTTAGTCTGTTGAAATCGGAACATATCAACAGTTTCCTCATACATATAAACTTATTAGTGGAAGCAATCCCATTCACATCTTTCTGAAGTTTGTGCTGAAAATGTTGTCTTGAATGACAAGGAAAACGTCACGATGAAACAATGTAGCTCAGAGAACACAACCCTATCAAAATTTCTTGGACTCCCCTAAAAAACCGTGTCTACAGCTGCAGCTTTTCAATTATGTACCAACCTGAATCAGTACTCTGAATTTTTATCAGTACTTCAACGGATATCTGTCAGTGATGTAAGTTATCTTCATTGCAATGAATTTCTGATTAATTATCCGAGTAAAATAATCATTCAGAATTGTCAAAACACTAATCGGTTAAGTAATTAACTTACTTTTTTCAATGTTTCCAAATTTACATTGAGTGCAAGTTCAGTTTTTAATTTATCTGGTAACATTCCCAATGAATTAATGTCTTGACCACCTCGTCCACTTCCTCTGAGCAATAAAATTAACAAAAATATGGCATACTTTTATTATATTAGACAAGCCGAAAAGTTGAACGTCAGTTGACATGTGAGATGTTATAAGTTTGAATATAAAAACCAGACATTTGGCCTAAGGACTGGCTATGATGACTCAATGGCACATCAAATAATTCCCTTACATTTGAAGTGATTGAACCTCGCCTGGTTAACTAGTTCACTAGTTACTAGCCGGTCCTAAGCCCGGGTAAAGAGGGAAGGTTGGGCATAGGGCTAGCAACCCTACCCCGTAAAACAAATCTAACCGCTAAACAAACTTTAAAGCACAAACAAAATATAAAAAATGAAAACAAACTTATTCCCCGCTGGAATCGGAGAGGCGAAATGACGCCAGTTGGTGAAAGCCTTCGGGAAGCCAATTGGCCGATGTGTCTTCTCTCCCTCGATGAAAGCGAAAGTAAACGTGGGGACATGGAATGTCCGCACGATGTTTGAACCCAGTAAGGCAGCCCAGATTGCAAAGGAGATGAGAAGGTATAACATCGAAGTGCTTGGGATTTGCGAAAGCAGATGGAATGGGAGTGGACTCTCCAAACTGTCAACTGGAGAATCAATAATCTACTCCGGTCACCCAGACGCCAACCACGAGCACACTGAGGGAGTGGCTATCATGATGTCCCCAACAGCATCGAAGGCTCTCATGCAGTGGGAACCAATCTCCTCCAGGATCATGAAGTGGAGATGGATTGGGCATGCACTGAGAAGGCCGACTAAGGACATCACGCGTCAGGCCAGTCACTCGAGTGGAATCCCCATGGGAAGCGACGAGTTGGACGTCCGAGGGTGACATGGAGGAGGTCGTACGAGGAGGAAATGAGAGCTTCTGGGCTGTCGTGGAGCCAGGTTCAAAAGATCTAAGAGAACAGAGGTCACTGGAGACGTGCTAGTGAAGCCCTATGTTCCACTAGGAACCCAAGGGACTAATAATAATAATAAATAATGAAGTGATTGGCTGTGAAATCCAAACTGAATGTGAATAACGTCCAACATTTTAAGCCAAGTACTTTCAACTGGAAAGATCATTCATACTATCAGTCAACTAAGTTGACAAAATTGTGATCCGATAAGTACTGAAAATTAACAGATCAATATCTGATAGTAAAATCACTACTAATAGAACTTCAAGGTTGGTAGACTCAGTACAAAGACATATTCAACTTTAAACTGCTCTGTCTCATTATAAAGTAAACCTTGATGATGCCAGACACCTTGAAGATAAAATCCTTGTCATTTACGGTGAATACTAAAACGATACTCAGTCACACATGCTTTTATTCTGAATCTTAAGTGTTATCGACCAACTAGAAGACGATTATAAAATCTATTCGAACAGATGGACAACATCAACCCGCGACTTGCCACTACTACATGACTATAGGAAGATAGTTCAGAGTAGCAAGACCAAGATGTGATATCAGTCGATGAAGTCTCTGACTGTTTGTTTGAGCCATGTAAGGAGAGGTTGACTGCCTGGTGTGTTCACTCTTTGACGTCTTCTGAAACTCTTTACTCACTTGTTCTTTGTGTACTCTTGTGAATTGTAGCAACTTGGGCCGATGAACTTGTCTACAAAATTTTGAGTTGATTTTGTCAATCAATCAGCTGAGAAAAACAATCGAAGACTTCAGAGACTGATATCATCTCCTGACAATAGATGAGGAGCACAAGACGGTTTCCTCATCTAAAATACTTCAAATGGATGAAACGGTTGTTCGGTGCTTCCAGGTTTCTAATGTTTTCCCAACTGAGGATAGTCAATGATGAACACCTGTGAGAAATCAACTGTAGTTCTTGAAGATTCATCAAACATAGGACATAGCATAAGACAGAATGCTTATCTCATCCATAAACGACAAACATACATCGGAATAAAATTAATTGGTCGGGTAACATATTTTGATCATAGTTCTATGACTAACACATTCCCATTGAGCCCATGGGTCGGAATATAATAGTCCGTATTTCCTACTTCTGTAAGTTTAAGATATACCAAGGTGTCTATTCAATGCCGTCGCTGATTAACTGTCCTTATGTTTGACATGGTGAACTGGTAGGCGTAGGAAATATGAACCACTGGATTCCAATCCAGAGGCTCATTGATGATGTAGTGCTCATGGAGCCTGAAGGTCTTTGATTCGACCCGTATTTGGGTCATGAGTGCTCGCTGCTGATCAGTTCTATACTAGAACAAAACGACTGTCTAGTACCTCCAAATTTCCAATGTTTCTCCAACCGAGGATACCACATGATAAATAACAACCTAAAATCAATAAATAAATCTCAACAAAGCTCAAAATAGAACTAGAATTGGTATATACTCCATCATTAATCATAATACTCTCCGACTCATGATACCCACCGCGAATATAAACAAAAGGCTTAGATTTCAACAAAAGTATTAAAAAAAACCGTACTTTACTACTTTCTTACTCAAGTCAAATTAAGAAGAAAATATATTATGACAAAATGAAAGGAGAACAGATCTCTTGAATTGATGAATTATATTCTGTGTGCATTAGTTATTCTTGACAGATGGATTGATTAGACTATAAAAACTGAACTAAATAACTAACTTTACCATTGAAACAACCCACATATTCGTTATATATTTTTCTAAGGTGTCATACATCAAAAAACCACTCTTAAGTAGAAAACTTGAACGAAATGTTTATTATAAGCATATAGCTCGCAAAAAAACGAAATCATTTCATGTCTAAGTAATTTTTTTCTCCGCAAACCTTTATCAGCCTCATTCAACAACCATACGAAGACGCCACATGCCAAGTAATTCACAATGGGAAGCTCAGTGATGCATTTAAAGTGAAGAAAGGAGTAAAACAAGGCTGCCGTCTATTATCACTCAAGTCGACAGTGTATACCACTAAATAACAACAGCTATATAGAGACGCCATATGCCAAGTGATCCACAATGAAAAGCTCAGTGAAACCTTTAAAGTGTAAACAAGAGTAAGACAAGGCTGCCTGCTATTACCAATGATCTTTCTGACTGTGGTGGATCATGAAGCGGACAACTGTGAGGAGCAAGAAGATGAGCATACGCTGTTTCACCGATGAAAAGACCTAAGAAGAAGATTTGGATTTCGCCAATGATTTATGTCCAATGTCCTGTGGCGTAAACTCGAAGATCTACTTGCGAAAACTAACAAGTCGACAGAAGAGGCAGCGAAAACGGGATTCTCTTTAGGTGACCGTGGGGAGGATACAGGTGATGAAGATACCCAACCAACAACAAAAGGCACCAATCACCATTAACGGGAGAAACCTCAGGGAAGTTGTCTCGTTCACCTACCTAGGCAGCATCGTTTCAACTATAGGCAGCACAGGCACAAATGAGGATGCCAAAACCAGGATCGGAAAAGCGAGACACGTTTTCATTAATCTGAAACCAGTGTGAAGATCTACTGCACTCAGTACAAAGCGTGAACAAGGTCCGGATTTTCAATACCGATTCGGTCAAGTCAGTGCTTCTATGTGATGGTTCAGAAACTTGGCACCTCATGAATAACACTTCCAACAAACTACAGATATTCATCAACAGCTGCCACCTACGCTCATTCGATACTGAGGTTCAGATGGACGGCCAGAAAGAATAAGCAACGAGGAACTCTGGGAACCAAACAACCGAGAACCTACCGCCCAACAAATATGCGGAAGAAAGTGGGGATGGATTGAGCATACACTGAAAACGCCAATTGGGGATATCACGTGCCAGGCCAGGCTAGCAAGTGGAATTCAAATGAGAAACGACGAGTTGAGCATCTCATTTGAGGGCGATATGGAGGAGATGATGTGTGAGGACGAAATGAAAGCTTGTGGGCAGTCGTGGAGCTAGGTTCAGAAGATTGCAAAGAATAGAGTGGAAAGGAGGCGTGCTACTGAAGCGATAAGTTCCACTGGGAACCCAAGGGACAAATAATAATATAATAATACCACTAACTGACTATAGGTAAGTACATTTTCATTTCAGCAATTAGCTAAAATCAAGTTTTCATCTCTTTAAAAATCTAAAGATAATATATTGTAGTATGACGTTGAAAGGTTTGTCGACTAGTACGTTAGTTTCAACTTCTTCCTCTTTAAGTACAAGTTTTTGTCACTGTGCCTTTATCACCTATATTTCCATGAGGTGTTTTGAGTGGACTACGTTTTTGTGCATCTACATGCTTAGAATACTAATACTGTGAGAATTACATAAATGATGTGTGTGCATTGAAGTGGTTTTCCTCCGAATGCTTCTCATTCATGACCCTAATATCTGAAGACTTGTGCAGCTACACAATATACAAAACAATCTCATAGCTATGATTAAATTCTTCTCTAGAGTACTCCACTTAGAAGAGTTTATAAATCTAAACATATTCATCTTCTAATGTCCTTCTAATCTTCGTGATAATTATGCTGTGTTAAATTTCTAACAGATTATGCTGTGCTCTCTAAGCTGGATAGTTTAATTGCCAGGTTTTCATTGTCATTCTAGACAACATCATCAGCACAAACTTCGGGAAGAAGTGACTGATGAAGTTTTCTTCTCAATTTAAATGATAACTTGTTCTGATGGCCTTGTGTGTTATTCATTGTTTCTTCCAACTTCTTTTTCTTCTCTCCATAGTTATTTTGATTGGTTACCCTTACAACCTGAAATTTGACCTCGTTGTTCCTTATTGGTCGGTCAATTGAGTCACTATCAATATGTCTTCAAGTCGATCGCTGACTGACCAGACTGTCAAGTATCCAATACTTCGCTGATAGTCTTGTATTTCCTGTATTCAAGATTTCTACATCTTCTTAAAGGGTGACCACTGTGTACAATCCAATGTTTATCACAGTTTCTCGAGCTTATTTTGGTTTATCTTCGTTTGCTATTGTATCTTTCTACTTGTATAACAGAAAGCGAAGAGATTTCTGGGGCTTGTCAGCTTCAGTAATTACAAAAGATTTCAATAATGAAGTTGTGATCTTGGCGACAGTCTCCCTGTTGGTTTACACGGCTGATTTTTTGTTGACAACGAGTTATGCAAACATCTTTTGATGAAGTTTTGTGAATAAACATTCTTCTGGAAAACACTGATTAAGAAGTGTTCTTCTTTTCTCCACAATGTTGATGTACTACAAAGTATCTTCGCTTTTCCGAACAATCTTTTTATACAACTGATTTTGTGTAGTGTTTGATTGTGGTTATTGCAGTTGAGGATTTGATCCGTAACAGTTGGCTTTCTGTATACTTCTCAGTTCTCAGTTTCCCAAAATACGTTTTAGTGATCACAGCATCTAAAAATGCAAAGTTGTACTTTAATTCTTCTTTAGTAATGAATTTCCTGTCGTTGGAAATGTTGTTGAATAAGCTGTAAGTGTTTTTCAATTCCTTTGTTTTAATGATGATAAATGTGTCATCTATATATTGTATCTAATGTTTTAGTTTGATCAGCTGAAATTACACTGTTTCCAATCTTCGTCTTACTCCTTCTGTAATTAGTTCTAGTAGAGGCGATCCTATTAGTATTGTCTTTGTCGGTTAGTAGAGTTTGCTGTTCGACTGAAAATACTTTATAAATCAATGGATTCAGTCAAACTTGAAAATTGCAGTTGTGCGACTTCCAACAGATGTGTAACACTGTATATTAATGATGGGTAGTGGCTAGCAGTGGAATCCAGGGTGCGCCTTTCATCCTATTTGGGACTCATCAGCTGGATTTACCTGTCTCTTAGTGAGTGATGTTGTTCTCACGAGGACTCGGACTGGGAAGCGATCGCTTCAAACGCGAGAGCGTTATCCCGGTAGGAACAACATCACTCACTGAGATTCGGGTACATCAAACTGACGAGTCCCAAACAGGACGAAATGTGCATCCTGGATTCCACTGCTACCCACTACCCACCATTACTATACATAAGTGAAACATAGGCAATATAAAGGCATCCGCACAGGAGCCCATATCCCAACAGAGACTTATCAATTCGGTCCAATCAACGACGGTGTAGTACAAGCAATAACGGTAAGATGTGTAACACTGTTAAGAAGAAGAGTCATTGTATCCTTAGCCAATTTTAGCTCAGTTGAGATGCATAGAGCTGTGACGTCGAAAGACATCATCAGTTCGTTAATGCCAATATTCAATATTCCTGATCATTTCCAAAAAATTGAATTGAAGAGTTGATACGAAGATTGCATAATTCTACAAGATGTATTAGTTTTTAAAAATCTCTTTCAGAAGATTATATGCTTTAATTACTAGAAGTGAAAAAGTTGGTTGTAGTGGAATGTTTAATTTGTGTATTTTTGGTCAGCCTCATTCGTCATTGCTCTTGTTTTGCAATTTGTCCTGCCTAAATGAGACTGTTCAAGCATTTGGTGATGTGGAAGTCAAACATCTGGATGGAATTTGTCTCAGGTGATTGATTTATATTTCGGTCCATGAGTATATCTTCCTTTTTGCTGATCCATTGTTTTCTTATAACATGTAAACTCGATGGTAGATAGTATATAATACGCTCGATTGTGAAATAAAACGGAGCATATACACCTAGTTCTCCCAGTTCAGCTTCTAACTAGAAAGTCACGTTTATCCTATCTGAGCATATATGTGCAATAAACTAATATGCACGTTCGAATTTTAGAAAAGTGAGTATATTATTTAAGTACTATCACCCAAAATTGAGGATAGGATTAAAAGCTGTAAGAGGCATAAATCCTCACAGTTCTCAAAACATCTGTAGTAACTGAAGATATTAGGAATGGTTAACTAGTGGGTAATATTTACAGATCAGGTGAATGGTCTCCACCGTATTGTGTTCTCTGAGCTGGGTTGTATAATCGTGCAGCCTTCATCGTCTTTCTTCGAGACAACATCATCGGCACTAACTTCACTATGATTGAGCTATCAATATCTCTCCGTGAGTGATTCAGTAGCTTGCCCTGACCAACTGCTTTGTGATTGTTTGTCTCCTCCGATTGTTGTGTCATTGACTGTATAGATTTTCTTGCTGGCTGACTGGTCCTCTTCTTGACCTCTCACCTTTCTGTCGTTTATCATTTTTCTCATTGGTTGATAGATTGGGTCTATGTCTAATACATTAATTGATTGCTGACTGACTGATCTGATCTGATCTGAATGCCAAGCTTCTAAAAATTCTCTAATATTCTTTGTGTTCCCTCTGTCCATGATTTCTACATTCTCAAAGTTGAACTCATGTTCATGGTTGTTATTCACGTGCACTGAAATGAGTGATAAAATGTCAAAACGTTCAATAGCTAATTGGTATTCAAGTAGACGAAAGCGTAGGGGGCGACCTCTTTGTCAAAATTAGCGCTGATCACAAGTATTGCAGCTGATTTTGTAAATGATGTTCGGTTTGTCTTCTTTAGTTATTCTGTTTTGTGGTCTGTTTAATAGCGTTTGCAGGCTCATAAATCAACAATTCCCTTCCAACCGAACAATCGGAGGAGACAACCAATCACAAAGCAGTTGGTCAGGGCAAGCTACTGAATCACTCACGGAGAGATATTGACAGCTCAATCATAGTGAAGTTAGTGCCGATGATGTTGTCTCGAAGAAAGACGATGAAGGCTGCATGATTAAACAACCCAGCTCAGAGAACACAATACGATGGAGACCATTCACCTGAGCTACAAATATTTTCCACTATTTCAACACCAGTATCTTCATAGCTGTAAATATGTTTTTCTGATGAATAAAGAATATCCTGAAGATTAATCTCAAAGATGTTATTGATGTATAAATTACTTACAGAAAATAAACCTTAATTCTACTTTTTACTCAGAAACCTGATCAAGACATTTAAAACTTACTTTGACCATGCATAATCATACCAGCGAAGGATACGTTTTTGTAGATCGGCATTCACAGAATTTGCACGCATATAACTCTTTGCATCGTCCTATATTATAAGAAGTGAAGTTAAAAAAAATAAAATGAGTGGTCATTATTATTATTATTATTATTATTATTATTATTATTATTATTAGTCCCTTGGGTTCCTAGTGGAACATACCGCTTCAGTAGCACGCCTCCAGTGACCTCTGTTCTCTGAGATCTTTTGAACCTGGTCCCACGACAGCCCAGAAGCTCTCATTTCCTCCTCGCACGACCTCCTCCATGTCACCCTCGGACGTCCAACTCGTCGCTTCCCATGGGGATTCCACTCGAGCAACTGGCCTGACGCGTGATGTCCTCAGTCGGCCTTCTCAGTGCATGCCCAATCCATCTCCACTTCTTCCTGCATATTTGTTGCGTGATAGGTTCTTGGTTGGTTCGTTCCCAGAGTTCCTTGTTGCTTATTTTTTCTGGCCATCTGATCTTCAGCAGCGAGCGTAAGCAGTTGTTGATGAATGTCTGTAGTTTATTGGAAATGCCTTTCGTGACGCGCCAAGTCTCTGAGCCATACAAGAGCACTGACTTGACGTTGGTGTTGAAAATCCGTATCTTGTTCCACATGCTGAGTGCAGAAGATCTCCACACTGGTCATTAATTCAAACTTTTATATGCAGTACATTCCTTTAAGGTTAACTAATGGAATCAATCATGTCAAGGCTTCAATTAGTGTATATTCCAAACAAAAGATGTTCATCGCGAACTTTAACAAATCATTATATTGAAGACGTAAAAATATCGAGGTATATTACTCTAATTGTGCAATCTAAGCATTCCAATCACAAAGTTTACTGCTTCTATGCTATACAATGTGATTTTATTGACTGTAAACAATGTGACTGGTAATTAGTTAAAGTGCTGAATCCATCGCGTCATTGCCTAAGGAAGATGTTTAAGTTAGTATGGTAAGAAAAATTATTGAAAAATCAATTGGAATAGTCTCTTACCTAAACCAGAATAATCTGACTTTTCCCTAAGCAAGTTAAGAAACACGATCGATATTTAAACCACGGATATGTTAGATATAAGCGACCTTATAGGCCACCCTTACAATGATCAAAGTAATCAATCAGCTTATTTTGGCTGGAAAGGATGATTTTTATAAGATAAAAAAGTTTAATTGGTTACTTCAGTAGTTGCTAAGGTGGTATTTAAAATCATTAGTAAAAATAGGAGTTACTATAATGGCTACCTGAACAACTGCTTAGACAACTAAGCCTCGATGTTTTATGAAAACTTACCTTTCTAGCAGGAATCCCGAAACCTGATTAGTTATTTCAGCAGCGGCCTAGCGACTGCTAAATTAACTAATCAAATGTCAGAATTTCGTCTGGAAAGATAGTTTAACATACAATTGAGGAACGTTGTCAGTTATCTCAGCAACTGCCAGGGTGGCCTATAACGTCAAGTTACTTTAACGGCCACCCTAGCAACAACTGAAATAACTAATCAAAATCTGTTGATAAAAGCCTGTCTTTCCAAGCGAAAGGAAGAAACCGAGTTGGTTATTGTGATTGTCACTAGAGTGGCCTACAAAATTGTCCTTGAAGTCGCCTATAAATGGAGGGATTTTAAAGGCTAGCCCTAGCAACTGCTATAATGACCACTCAGGGTTTGTCATTTCGCTTGCAAAAGTTCTTATCCATGAAATAAAGGAATGTAGAGTGAGTTTAAAGGCCACCCTAGTAACAACTGAAATAACCAATTAGACTTCTCTATTTCAGGAAAATTTGCCTCTTTAGTCGAAATGAAAAACTTAATTGGTCATTTCGATTTTTGCTAGGGTAGCCTTAAAAGTCACCCCGAAAATTGTTATTCAACTACAGAAGGGTTAATCTCTGCGAAAACGCAGTGACATTAAAGGCTACCTCAACAATTTCCAAAATAACCAATCAAGTTGAGGTGTTTTGGCTGGAAAGACAATTTTTCATAGAACAGAGAAATGTGATTGGTTATTTCACCAATTCCTAGGGTAGCCTTTAAGGTCACCGCAAAAAGTAGGCATAAGTGAAAAGTGTCTGATTCTTAAATAGTCTGCACACTTAAAAATGTTAACTAAGAATCAGGATGAGTGACTTTAAAGGCTAGCCTAACAACTGCTGAAATAACCAATCAACTTTCGATATTTCGGTTGGAATGAATATTGTTCTAAAAAATATAGAAATATAATAGGTTAATTCAGCATCTGATAATGTGGCTTTCGAAGTTTCTGAAGAGTCAAATAATTACATTACAATTAAATGCATTTGTTAAAAAAAAACATTGGAACAAAACAAGAGAATCTCATATCCTGGTTTACATGAATAGACTGGATTACTTTAATTCGATTTTTTCTGTTATATGGATGAATGCTGTCTTGGGAGAAGAAGATCGTAGTATCTATCATAATAAAGCCGGTCACTTTTTCACTTGCTTCAGACAGAATGGTCTTCTAAAGAATATCTAGTATACTTGAACCGTTTTACTATCTGTTTTCAGCCATTTCCCGTTTACACACTGCAAAAATTCGATCACTTGAATTTCTGACAGAATTTCATTTAAATAATTGTCAAACTTATCGAGAGATGACTGTCACATACAATCCACTTGTCTTCGGAATACACTTCAAATTATTTCACTAGTAACAATTATGAAAATGATATGTTTATACCTATTTCACATTTTACAAGCTTTCTTCAAAGATTTATTCAGGATAAATCACAGTTTGCAACAGTGGCTAAAATTGTTTTCAACATTACCATTAACACGTTTTCTAAGTCGGAGACAATTTGGGTTCAATATGAGCTGATGAAGTGTGTGTGTGTGTGTATACGACAGAGGCTTGTCTAGAAATTATATGAGAAAAGGGTTTAGTTATAATCATATATATGATTCATGGAACAACTCTGGATATCTTAATTTTACAACATTGTTAGACTGATGGCTGACTTAATTACGGTCCTCAGAAATTGAAGAAGTAACTTTGAAGTATGTAAAGCTACTCTGTTTTTTTTGAATTTCGAGGAAGTTGTGAGGATTTGAAAATATTTCAAGTTGTTATGCATCGTAGACTGAAAATAGTTCGGGGAACAATGTAAACCTGGGAGCATTGGACAGCTGTTCCGTCCTAGTATGGGACTCCTCAGCAGCGCGCACCCACGACCCCGCCCTCCAGGGATCGAACCTGCGACCTTCAGGTTCCGTGGCCACCACGTTACCATTGAGCCACTGATTCACATATCCAACTTCTGTTAGCTCATGATATAGCGCAATCGCCACCCAATATCATCATTGAGTAACTATCCTCACGACCATCAGGCTTTGCCCCCACCGGTCAAGACTTCTCATTGGAACTTCGGGAATACTTCTAGAAGTTAGTCACAATGAGCACCAGTCCAATTGAATTTTGATGGAGTTGTGAGGATTTGGAAATTCTTTTCATCGGAAAATCGTCATACATTACAAAATATGTTTCGAAAGTTCAGAAGACCATAAGTTAATTATTTTGCTATTGAGTAATCAGACTGTGTAACCTACTAGCAACTGTAGAATTTAAGTGAAGAAGAGACAACTGTATTGATCTATTACAAAATAATAATAACTTATTTATGAGCACTGAATTCAAAGGAAACGATGCAGCACAACTACTAGGAGATAAATAATCTTTCCAAGGCAATCAGAGGAACATTTTCTTCTGCTGAACTATCAATGATCCATTCCGGCTGAGGTATGAAGAGCAAAGTCTCATTTCGGGTCACATGCATGTCTGTTCACTCATCACTCACCTGTAGTTATTGCCATTTAAAGCATTATAACCAACCTAAAACTGTCTTCTCAGTAATTTACTTATTTTGAATAACATGATGTTGGAGAGCATGTGAAATCATAAAATTAATTTTTCATATTATATTTAAACCCACATCATCCAGTATTAAAATTGAATGGAATCCATATAAGTAAATCAAGTTTTAAAAGGTAGCCAGACCTTTACTTATTAGTGATGGTGGTCAACATGAACATTTCATAGTGAATTCCCTCAAAGGTTCTATGCAACAGATCTTGATGCATTGATTGTTGTTTATACTGACCAATTTTCTCAAAATAAACAGGAAAATTGACGTACCGCTTAGTTGCAGCACTAAAGTCTTTTCTAACGTGTATCAGTTTAAGATCAAAATTTTCGATCTTTCCAAATCCTGATTTGTAGGATAAAAATGCTTATTCTACGTTCTTAAGCGTATTGGTTATTGATATGCTTTATAGCTTCAAATCACGTTTATATTAGCGGACAGTGTATAACAGTTGAAATCAGGATACGTGTATCATTTTATTTAAGACTGGTCAACATTCTTTCTGGTAGGACATCTCTAAAACTAGCAGATAGAGATGGTCAAAACAATCTAAAGCTTAGTCAGGAAAATCCAACGAGACCTTTTTCAGTGTTCAAGATCTTGATAAGAAGCTCAAAATCGCTGAAGCCTTTCACAACCAATCATGTTGCTCCAACTTTTTAAGATAAAACACCTGAACCAACATGTAATTATCAGATTGGTTAAAGAGGCAACATCAGTAACAAATGCCACTCTAGAAAGGCCTAGGCCAACCTAGTAACTGTTGAAATAAAAAAAAAAACAAATAACTGGCTGTCTCAGCAGCTGGTAAAGTTGTCATCAAAGTTACTTCAATATTTAAATCTCAAGGATGAATGTCATGTGAAGGTGGATGATATAGCTTCAAAATGGCTTTAAGGAATATTAACACAATGTAAACTATACCAACCATACACATATACATGCTAAATTCTTAGCTTACCAAGATTTTTTCAAATTCTGTACGATGTGCATTTCTTGTAGTGATGATATTTCCAACCTGACCTGGAAAAATCATATGATTCAACAACAAAAAGGTTGTATGAGAAAAAATGAAATGAAACATTCATTGAAATGCAGGCAATCTATGGGAAGTGATGTTGAACCTAAGTTTTGTTCTTGTTGGCACTTCTTAGCGTAAGGGTGTATCTTCCACCTCAGTGAAACTTATGTCTCCTCTGAGATTCAAATTCATGTCACTCACTGCTACAGTCAGAGATGTAACTGTTTATTATGCTTGGGCTATGAATGATCTTCAACAGAAATGTATCATTTACACGTTTTAGCCACTGAGGGGGTAACCAACTTCATATTTTCTAGTCTTAAGTGGTATATTATTTACGTCATTTCTTAGTTATCGTAATCCAGGGTTTTTCAGCCAGTTCACAATAAAAAAACCACAATTATTGTAGTCAGACTTGTTAACCTTTTATCCTTTTTCATGATAATGCTTTTGAAACTGTCGCTGGTGGACATTTCCATCACCTATTTCACATCATCTTCGAAATGATTTCAGAAATAGTAGTTAATGACTTTGTCATAAGTTACTGTATAATTCTTATCTACAACTCTTTCATTTTAATCTGTTATTCTGGTTACATTTTGATAGGTCGAAATCCTTTCAAACGTATTAAGCAAAAGTATGCTTATATCAGCTTCTGAAGTAATAATAACTTAATTCTAATGATGAATAAACGCTAGCAGGTAATATCGAGAAGCCCATAAGCAAACAGAGACAGATCAATTCAGTCCGATCAACGATGAAGTAATACAAGCAATAACACTCATAATAACTAAGTTAATTTCAAATTCATTTTTATCCAGTCGTTTCTTCCCAGTACATCGATGACAAAATTTAAACCAGTAAATATGTTTCATGTTTATCCAAAGGATGATCTCTTTTTAGTGTGATTAGTTCATGAGTGACTTTAAAGGCCACCATAACAGCTACCGAAATAATCAATTCAGTTGGGATATTTTGGCTGGGAAGACAATTTTGTATAGAATAGAGAAACGTGATTGGTTGTTTCATCAGTTGCAAGTCTCTCATGTTAATGACTTCTTAGACAAAACAATACACCTATTTTTGGTTGTTGACTGCTTTCTTCCGAATGAACGACATGACTTATACACTGGCAAATTTTGTCTCAAAGTGTACCATTTATTTAAGAAAATAACTTGATTTTTGTGGCAGAAAATAGTTTGATAATAAATTGGCTTGTCTAATATAGTTAGCACACAATGATACAATACGTCTTATAAGATGACATTTCAGGTGTCAAGACAGTAACACAATCTCCAACACCTGGATTTTTATTGTTCTGTCACCGGTAACAATCATCTGCATATATGCGCAATGAGAGTTACTTCGTTTTTATTGCATACTGCACTGGATATAGATAGACTGGATGAATAAAGAATTGGTAATCATTCTCTTAGTAAATTACTTTTCAAGATTAGTGTTGTGTCACGCGATACTGTCTTGTTCCATGTCTCTGAGTGTCTTGACAAAGGAATCTTTATTCACTAGAAAAGTATTAAAACCATGCAATGTTAATGGCGTAGTATCTTTTTCGGTAGTATGCAGAATCCTGTTAGTATTGACAACAAGACATAGCCAGCAATATAACTATAAAAGACAGGCGTTGAAAGTTGTTTGACTATAGTGAACAGGCTGGGCTTAGAATGCCATCAGTAACTACTATTGTTCCAATGTCTGTTAAATCAAACAAACCAATCTACTATGCAATTACACTGACATGTATAAGAAACTGATGGAATCTGCCTAAATTTGCCGAAAGTAAATTACTTCACAGCAGACATGATCTGACATCCAGAATGTCAGCAAAGTAGTAAAATACAGGTTAAAAAATCTTAACTTTTTCGATCCTAAATATATCCTTTTCTGTTAGTTGGCTGAAAGTTATCGTCAGTAAGCCTTGGATTTAGGTTTTTTGCTTGTTAGCGCTTGTCACTATGGTGTGTCTTCAACCTTAAGGAAATTGATGTTTCACCTGAAATTCGAACATAAAATGCATGGCTCTCCTGTGACCAACTAACGTGTGTAATCCAATCCTACAGGTGGTCAGTCTTGGCCAAAATAGCCCAATAGTAACGTCACTGACTACAATACTGGGTGACGCATAATCGAATCATAGGTGGGATGTCACTTTCGTAGAGATTGCAAATACGCCTTGCTCAGGAGTGCCAACAAACACGAAACCTAGGCCTAGAGTTTCCTGCCGATTGACTTCAACCAACTAACATCTATCAATATTCACCGCGATGCTGCACCTCCTAAATTCGTGGCCACAATGCAAAAATGATTGACTGAATTCAGTCAGTAGTCAGGATTAGATAACATGAAATTGGTTGCTCCCCGTGTCTAATCACTGTGCAGCCTAATCCTTTTTATAGTAAATATATCATAATAACCAATAATTTAATACTGCTGTTTTGTCACAGACCTGATATAAAAAACAGGTATCAAAATGGACCATGTAATATCATTTTACTACGCTGTACAAAAGGGTAGGTATAAACACGATATCACGTTTAGTCAACAGGCCCCCAGTGCTTTTCAGCAGTAAGAGATGAGTGTGATTATTATTATCTAATATCTTGAAATATTTCGCCTCTTAAAAACTATCCATGAAGACGTGGTTGAATAGTAGGTGTTAAATCACTTTTCATCTTATTGCATTATGTCCCAAAAATCAAGGCAGTGAAGCTTGAGTTTTGAGATGACAACTGATAATCTAGATACTGTTGAACCACCATATTTGATCTGTGAAATGTTTCCAACAGTTTAAAACATCTTAAACATTTTTAAACAGATCTATGGATCAAAAATGTAGTCATCAAAATTCCAATCATTGTATCAAGTTTGGACCTCACTGTTCCTACTGAAGTCTAGGAGATATGATGGTATAATCAATCCTTAAAACGTAGATGTAACATGGAGACTGTTACAGACAATCATACAGAAACATTAGCCAATGAGCTCAAATAGTAATAATAATAATAATAGGTAACATTTTAAGTCGCTAGCAGTTTCTGCTGTACATCATTGAGCAACTGGCCATCACAAAATCTCCCATGATTCTCAACGCTGATGATGTAAAACGAAACTAAATAGGAGTAGGGGATAAAAATCATGCAAACACACATACACACTGAAATCAGATCTAAACAGTTTGTCAATGAGGTCAGAAGAGTAACTGTGCCTATCAGCGCAGGTAAGTGTGTAAACATCTATGTAAGGCATGCAAAAAACAACACCTACTACATGAAAGGGAGTTCTCCAGCCTTACTGTTACTTAGGAATAATAGTAAGTCAGGAATTAAAAGCTGTAATGCACTTTCGATCAGTTGCAGAACAAAAGTTCCAAAGAACTTTTGGCATTGTTTAGAACTTTCATTTGGATCATTCATGACGTGTTTGCTAGTTTATGTAAGCTTTCGTTAGATTCAGACTAGAAAGTAGTGCTCAAGTAGGTTACTCAGACCTTCTGCAAAAAGCCCAGAGGATGGCAACTCATATGATCCCTTTGATGGCTAGGCTGACATATGAGAAGTGCCTTTAGGAGTCTTCATTGCATGGAAGAAAGACAGAAGACTGAATCATTATATGGAAAGTTGTAAAAAATAATCATGAACTCGATCTCTCTTCTCTTTCCCTCCTCATCAGGCCAAAACACATCAGAGAGCGTGTTAAGAGAATAAAAAAGCCAAGAAAGTATGTCATCGCCTCTAAGTACTAATTTTCGAACTAAAGTAATCATCTTTTGGAATTGACTATTGAAAATGTGATGTTTACACTACCAGTTGATTCATTCATGAAAGGACTGAACAACTGGAGGAATGTCCAGTCAAAGAACTGGTCTGATCTCAGAGTTTTATACTCGCAAACCGGAAAAGTAAACAACTAACATGAATGTACAACTTTGTAAATGAAATAGCCAGGAAGATAATTTTATTCACTGGTTTTTGTGTCTTATGCCTTCATAGGTAGTATGAATTCAGTTGAAACATCATTCCACAAATGATAATTTGTTCAATCTGGTTTGATAGGTTCCTTACACAGAAGACTAGATAGAGATTTATTTTCAGAAACGTCATATATTTAGTTCGCTTAACAAATTTCAACAATGCAAAAACAAAGGGATTTGTAGAATAAAATGTGTTCATTTTATTTTATGGCCTTTCATTAGCTACAAACAGTCTACAACTGAAAGGAGTTATTAAAGAGTTAGTAGTTTACGTAATTGCATAAAAACTGTAAAATCATGAAATGATTTAAAGTCAATAAGTAATTAATGAACAGATAAATGCAATCAATAGAAAAAGGAAAACTAAATACATACATATGTAAAAGGTTATTTACAGTTACCAAAGTAAAAAAGATTAGTTACAGTCTCTTTCTGAGTACATAGGTCAGGTTGAAAATATTTGATAGCGAAAGCTTTCGCAAACCGTAATAAATATGCCGCTGTTTGTTTCTTGATTATCTTGAAGGATTGTGGAACATCTATTTGATGTCCTACCTTCATCAGATGACTGGTAATTGGGCTGGTGAAGACTTCACTACCTTTCAAACAATTATTTCTGGGAATACACTGATAAAATTGAGTAGAAGCCCTACTTTCGGTCTATTCTATGTACTTCCTTCCACAAGTATGTGTATGCATATAGTTCCCCATTTTTTTTGTTAATCCTCGATTTCAAATCTCCATTTATTTCTACATATTTAAAGTATGTTATGCAATAATTACTACTAATAATTAATTTCAATTGTAGGTTGTTTGCAACTGATGAAATCCTGTGAAACAAAATGAGCTCATTTTATTCTGTAAATATCTTTTTTTTCTTGCATTATTCAAAGAGATAATATTTAATGTCAAAAGTCCTTATTGGATTGAATAAACTTTGTCATGAGAAAGACCCTATCTATCTGTTAAATATGACCATACATCATAAAGAATCATTTACGCATTGAATAACCT